ACGAAGTCTAAGATCTTTTTAACTTCCTAGCTAACGTCCAAAGTCTGGCTGTTCGCTGTAACGGACAGAACTGAGGAAGTCGCTCCAAAACGTGGAAGAACCAAAACCGCGAAGAGACAGTTAAACTCTCACTTCCTTCCCAGACCCCTTCAGCAAGGAAGCGGACCTGGCTATGGGGAGAGGGCACCGGGGGCAAAAAATTACCGTTTTGATTGCAATTTTCAATTTTCATTTTTTACAATTCCGCCGAAAACAGAAAAACTAAGCCATGCCATTGACTGCAACATTGTCGGAGAAGCAAAATTGCCGCTCAATTTCAATTGTTCTTTTCATTGTTGACAGGATTAAAGTATAAATATAAGTTATGTTTCAATCTTCTATCAAAAGGAAAAAAAGTCAAATATTTTTAATTTGGCACTTTCGTATTTTTTATGATAAAAAATAACGACAATTAAAAATTGACATCAATGAATGGACGAATGACACACGAACCGAGGGGGTTGAAAATATCCATTTCTCGTCTTCTTTGGAGCGACCAATGGAAACTTCACGGAGAAATACAGCGTCACGCCATTGTGATAACGTACATGTTTCTAACAAATGACCGGTGTGAGGATAGTTTCGTGTAAATCAGCCGGCTTCAACATGTTTTAAATAACATACAAGTAAAACAGTGTATCTTTAGAGGACTTCAGATCGCTCAAATTCCCATGAAAGAAGGTGCAGCTCTCGGAATCTGGATGATTTGCACACGATGTGAGGTATATGTTTGTAGTCACGTCGAGTAGTCCTGCGTGAAGGTTGATCAATTTTTCTTAAAAGATGACAACCAGAGGGGAGATTTCTCTTCGGGATATTGCTCATAAGATAAAATTCTTTCAAAGCCTTCCATGTTTCATTTTTCTAAAACATTTGTTGTTGAGAACATTAGATGTAAACATCGCCAAATTATGCAATATTTTATTTTGAGCTTTTTTCGCGAATTGCCCCCATAAAAAGTAGAGCCAGGCCCGCAGAGATTTTTACATATTTAAAAACTAGAATATTAGAAACAGCTAGGTGGGTAGTTTCAGTTCCAGAATCGGTGCACTTTTGGAGAAATTCAGATAAACGTTTTCTCTGTTTTACCCGACAACTAAAATAACCCGAAACTGTACCGAAATGAATAATCTATTGGTGTGTTCACATTTACTCCCAGGGAAAATTGAATGAATCAATGTGAAGACAAATGATGTTACTATGTATGGTAGAAGTTCCAATTTGTAATGTTGTATTTAGCTTGAGATAGAGAAATAAACATTTCACTCTTTTTTTGCGACGTTTTTGTATGAAAATAAGGCCCCAGGCCTCGAACAAGCAGCCGTTGTAACCATGGCAACAAGAGTGCTGCAACCTTTGAAAAGGGCATTTTTGTGCATCCCCCCTGAGTGCCTAACTGCATGCAAAATTTGAAGGAGGTTGAAAATTTTCATTTCCCAAGATGTTTGATTCTTTCAGAGACTTGTTCTTAACTTCAAATTTCTTTTCGACTGGCTGAGTTTTGAACTCTCCATCTTTCGTTAAATTGCGTCTCTCTGAACCTTTCTTGAAACTAGTGGGATCAATGAAATTTTAATAGAAATCCCATCCCCACTAATAACAACGGCGATGGGATTTCTATGAAAATTTGAAACCGGGCCTTGGTAAATATATCAGTTGGGATATAGGATTTGGATCCTGCCATTATGAGCTGTAAAATGGCTCCTCTGCAACGCATGGACTTCAGGGTAAGTAAAATTTGAAACCAAGATATAGTAATTCGGTGAGCTGAGATATTGGATTTGAATCTCAACATTAACAACTGTTATGGTTTACACGTGTTACTGGGTCTGTATAGACTTCCTAAAAATAAGTCTCTTGGAATAAGCAATAAATATTGTTTACTTACAGTTGAGTCAACTTGGTGTTGTAGTTGAAGACTCCACGTGGTAGCTCTGCTATCTGATTGTCATCTAAGCCCCTTCGTAAACAATATTAAGAAAGACAATAAAGCAAATTAATCATCTCACGAAGTTTTAAGACTTACAGAGTTTGCAAAGTACATCTGTAGGAATAGAAATTAACTCTTAACTTCTTTCCAGACTCCTCTTCTATTGAGGGAGACCCTTGGAATTTCGGCCAAATCCCTCGAGACCGTAGTTACCGGTCATCATTTATCGCTTAAGCGGCCGGAAGGGAAGAGTCAGAGGATTTGGTTTAAAATTGCAGCTCGCCTGCGAGAATGCCGTTTTTTTTTTAATTTACATCGGCAGCTCCAAAGAAATTAATTAAAAAAAAAATACACAGCCTAAACTTGCGCAAAGAAGAGAACCTTAGTTTTGACATTATACTGTTTGTAGATGATTCAAGTTTAACAAACAAAATATCTCTTTTTGACCTAACAGTGCGTTCTCAAAGTGGGAGGGGGGAGGTGGGAATGTTAATTTGGAACATTCATTGTATGGAAAAAAGTCCGAACTGATTATTTTTTCCTAATGATTGCTTGTGTTAGGGAAAGGTTCTATGAAAGGTGAATTTTAACACGCAGGCGCGTTATAAATAGGTTGGCTCCTCCCCTTTGTTTCAGCTCAAATGCAAAAATCATCCAATATGGCGACTAACGTTCCCACCATGAGTGAAACGGTCTGCATAGAAGACACACTTTAAGTGTTTTTTTTGTGTCCATAAATTAGAAGATATTACGTCTTGTTGACTCTCATTCCCATAATTGAGCTCATTTTTATATTAATTGGCACAAATTTATCGTTCGGCCGCTCAGAGCGCTATCTGCGGTCGACGAGACATTCGCACAGTTGTCTTTTCAAAATTCGCGCCGTGTAACTTCGGCTTATGTCCCAAGCCCCTAATACACACTGGTTCTTCGAGCCTTCAGATTATTCCCATTGAAACTAGCGGATTCATGACACATTCTATGCGCGATGCTCAGACTATTGTTATCTGTGACAATTCTGTGACAAAGCCTCTAAAGTATGGATGATTTCCCAAGTAAGTGCGATTTTGAGACAGAATTTCACAACTCTAGTTCAGTTTGGGGAATAGTCTTGGCTGTCGCTGCTCAAAAGATATATTTATTGGGAAATTTATTCGTTATGGCTGAGGGAGATAAGCCATCTATACCCAGGAAAAGCGTCCAACGGATCGAGGTCCTCAGTTCTCGTTCAACATAGAAGTTCCTCGAGCTCAGGAGAGCAGACTTCTCGGCATCAAAGGCTGCATAAAGATGGCCAAAGGCTCGTTGAATCTTACAAAAGCGACGACAAGCACACAGAATGCAGATTTGATGGAAGCTCTTCTGTTAGCTTTTGAGGAGAAAATTGAGAGGAAACGACTGACATCGAGCGATCTGAGCCTATCATCAACGGGAAGTCCGAACCCATCTCTTCTTTATACACCATCCACAACTGCACGGTTTTCAATTCCTTCAGCTTCTTCCACTCCATCTTCGCGTATTTCTTTGCCTTTTGCTGATCCTTTTTCTCCAATTTCTCCTCCACAAGCAGAACGTCAGGGCGTGAAATTAACTTTTTTTTCTGATAGCCACTTGGCTCCTAAATTCTTCAAAGTGGTAGCCAATTCAAAAAAAGTTGGTCGCCATTTTCAAAGACAAACAAAATCTTTCTTTGCGCTGTCAGCGTTCCAGATAGACCCTCCAAAATTGATTATAAGTTAGGGAAAAGATCTTTAACGTGCTACAAAGTGGACACTAGGATGTATGATATACAAAGTTCAGGCTCATCTAAATCCAAGATGGCGTCTAGTCATCGATCGAGATACATGTGCTACGTTTTGGAAACAAACTTAACGAGGAAGTTTGCCGCGGATTTATCTTTGCAAATTTATTTAATTCACTATATCTCTTAGTAAGGTTATGATGAAACGTTGTAGTCGCCAATTTGGCGACTAACTTTCAGGATTTGGTCGCGAAAGTGAAAAATTTAGTCGCATTGGCGCCTGTATTAGGCGCAATTTCACGCCCTGAACGTACGCCACAAATAATGCAAATCACTGCATCTTCAGCAAAGAACGACTCCATATATCTCTGCAGTGAAGAATCTCTGCGAACTCTGTTTTCTTTTTTCTCTAATACGCTAACGACATCATGTTGTTGTTTAGGGAAACCCCTCGATTGCGAGTCACTTGTCTTCAATCGAGTGATGTAGTGTCAGTGACAATTTCATGTGTTGGTGGAGATTCTTTCAAGTGGCTCTCCTCCCCTATCATGGGAGGATCTCCTCCAAAGTACTATGTAAATTTGAGGTGAGCACTCTTTTATTTTTGCTTGAAATTTACTGAAATTTGTTATCTCGGTATTTTAAAGTTTTTTTTTTGTAACTGGTCACTTATCTGTCTCTCTTTCATAGATTGATTTATGGAGTATTGTCCTGTGGCTTGACAGAAACACAATACACAAGTCTCTGTCAAGCAGCCAACGTCGGGTCAGAGGGAGAGAAGACCTTTGACTCAGGTTAGCAATACATATGCTCAGATGCTCTGACAATCATGTAGTCTTTCTCCTTGTAAGGAAAAGGCAGTCAACAGCAGTTTGCAGGTTGCTAAATCATGAATGTTCTACCAAGATAGCTCAAACTGACTGAACTGTTCCTTCTTTGGTTTGTGCCTTACCAGATGCAATTCTAAAATACTTCTATTTTTAATCACTTCAACAGTCTTGAAAAAGCTCAGTTACTTGACAGTCATGAAGAGGGTCTCCAATGAGTCCATGTTGGCCTTTCAAGAATAAGTGAAGAGTAACCCTGCATATGCTGTGAATGGAGAGGTACAAGTTGTCATTTTAATTTCATTTTGTCTTTGGCCACATACTTATACACCTGCCATACTTGGAATATATTATGTAGACTAGCACATACAAAAATATAAAATCTTATATCAGATTGTAAACCTTGAAAATATCTGTGAGTAGAGAAATGTGACCATTTTTATGTTTTGATTTCTACCATTTCTTCCTGCAGTGTGTTATAACAGATGCAAGGCATGATTCCAGTCAATTAGCAGCTCACACAACAGTGTCAGCCCTTTCTTCCTTGTAAGATGGTTTCTACTTGATCTCTTTGTATGATATGTTGAACCTCTGGTATGTTCAACACCATTCCTAAAATCATTTCGTTTGCACTGATTATCTTTAGGACCAAAAAGGTGTTAGCAGTTGTCAACTGGAGTAGGGCCAATGAAACTTCAGCAGTAAGCCGTGAGGTCCCTATGACAAAAGAGCTGCTGACTTATCTCTCTGAGACACAAGGTATGATAAATTTGCATCCTCAATAATATCATATCACATATGTAATACAAATATGGAGATCAGAAGTATCTTTTATAATGCAGCTAAAGTAATTCTTTTTCAGGGTTCCATGTTGCAGAGGTGACATATGACTTTGTATTACAGCTAACAACATGGATCTTGTCAAAAGGAATGCTTGATTCCTTTGACTCTTGGTATGGTACTCAGTACACACTTGTATTTTTTGGCTCATTTTGTCTTGATGATTATGACTATTTCTTGAAAGTTAGCATTTTATTGGTGTTAATATTTTTTTTTTATTATTTTCAGGTGCAAAGTCTGTGACTAAAGCAATGAAGGAAGTTGCCTCAGGGGCCCAGAGGGATGAGGGCTCAAAGTGGTTTTTTGAATTGTTCGACAAAGGTAAGATATCTCTCTTATGAGAGTCATCAAAAGCTATATTCTCTCCACAATTATCTGCAGATGTCAAATTCCTTCTTGATATAAGATGAATACAATGGAATATAATATTTGTGAATATTTTACAGTGAAAAGTACAAGGACTCTTGTGTACTTCTGCATGAAGAACAGTCCACCCAATGAAGAAGAATTTCAGGGTACACTGTTGAATGTAGTTGACCATTACCAGGTAATTTGAGTGACTGTTTATTGAGAACATAGTATTTTGTTTTCATTTCTGTAAGTACCTTTTGTTGTGTTATTCTAGTAAGATATGACATGATCATTACCTCAAAGATTGCACATATTTCTTTAATAATGGTGAATAAGAGACATTATACTTACTATAATTATTACTACTGATTTATTAATCTATTTTTTATAACTTGGTGTATTTATTACTCAGGGAAATCATGTGATGAGCAAAAAACTTTTAACTAAACCTGAAGTAGTAGCTGCATGCAGGGAAGCCATTGTGGGCACTTCAATTTATAGGCATGCATCGGACTACATGCAGGTAATTAATTGACACATGCTGTATGTTTATGTTTCTTTGCATGAAGAAGTTTATCTCTTCTTCCAAATTAATGATGTTGAGGTAAGGGCTATAAATGAGTTGAACAAATTAGTTTTCCTGTTAAAGAAAAATCACCCATAATTTGTTGCCTTCTTCAGTGCAGGGAAACATATTGGATTGAGTCTCTCCATTCAGTGATGCTCATTTATGCTGCAAAGCGGATTCATCATGGGGATGACACATACAACATGTGCATGGAGTTAGCCATTCTTGATTGGGTAAGAAACTTATGTTGTTAATTCTGTACAATTACTTTGGCACTTTTTGGATTCACTGCCTTCTCTTGCTCATTGACTCATTTATCTTACAGAATGAAAATGTGAATCGAGAAGCATCATCTCTACAGATGTACCAACATACCAGGCATCCAAACTGCTTGGCAGAGATCAGGGTGCTTACTTCAAAGACATTTAATTTCAGAGGAACTATCTGGTCTACCTTTTTTAATATAAACAAATGATGTCTCTTCTGTTTTCCATTGCACCACAGTTTCTGTGATAATTACAACTTGGAGCCCAAATGTTCAGTATGTGAGGTCATTAGGGAGGACCAATTCTAACAACTGCTGGTACCAAGCAATGAAAACACGAGTATTAGGTTTGACACAAGGTATTTCCAAGCAGACTCATTCTCTGTTTCCTCCTGTTACTTTTCTTTGCACTGTATATCTTTTCCTAACCTATAGGAAAGTCACTATTATTTGCTGTGTGGACATTGTAAAATGGACCATAAAAAATTTGTGTACTTGGGCTCTCTTTGAGGTGGGCATTTGTATGAGAATTTTATTATTCCCATTTACTATGCTTTCCGATTGAGCGTGGCGCGAGGCAAGTTTCGCGCCCAAGTTTTACCTTTGAAACCCCCATGTTGTCATTGGTAACAGCGCTTGTTTCCATTGGAAACATCTTGCGGTATTGACGTCATATGCATTAAGCGCGCGAACGACAAAGCGACGAACATGGAAAAAGTAAATTCGAAAGGAAGGACTTTCGTCAATGGTTGTGCCCTTTCGCAAGATTTGCGAAAATTAATAGTAGATGAAATAGTTAGGAATGGTGGGGATATCAACACTGGCTACTTTCTATGCAAATTTTCAGATGTGGCGAACGCTTTCAAAGTAAGTAGAACTACAGTGAAAAATATTTGGCAGCGACTCCATACGGAACGTACCAATGAGCCACGCCAGCACGGAGGTGTAAAAAACAGTAATTTAACTAAAGGTGAGTTGCAGTTGATTGAAACTGTCAAAAGAGAAAGGCCAACTTTATCACTGAGAGAAATTTACGATGGATTAACTGAATTTGGTGACATTCCAAAGGGAACTTCAAGGTCGGCAATTTCACGCGCCTTAAACAATAATATGTTGTCTGGTTTAAAATATTCATGGAAAAAAATCAGCACTGTTGCCGAAGAAAGATTTTCTGTGGAGAATATGGCCTACACTTAAATGTTCATAGATTATCTCCATGCCAAAGATCCTTTTAAGCTCAAATTCTTTGATGAATGTGTTTTAAAGTTACCATTTCATGGTAAGCGTTTACATGGTCATGCACCAGTTGGAGAAAGATGCATTGAACTCTTGCGTTATCACAGTTCACCTAACATAACAGTTAACCTATTAGCTGGGCTACATGGGGTAGAATATATGAACACAGTAGATGGTGCATCAGATACTATAGAATTTCTTCGCTTCTTCGGTGAAGCAGGAAGTGCAGCCAACATAGAAACTGCAAGACCCGCGCTTGAAGTAGGGGACATTGTTGTGATGGATAACTGCGCTACTCACCATTTTGCTAGCGGGGAAGCATTACAAGAATGGTTAAATGAGAGAAACATTGAGCTTCTCTACACACCAACTTATTCTTCGGATTTTAACCCTGCAGAGTTCGTTTTTAACAAAATGAGGAGCGTGGTGCGTTATCATCTTTGGGATCTAACAAATGAAAACATTGAACTTGCTGCTTATGAAGCTGTAGACCACATAACATCACATGATATGGCGAATTTTTTTAGACGTACGTCCTACATTAATACTTAGCAAGAGAAAATAAAGTGTTTCTCTGTTTCCGCAGAGTTGTTAGCTCCATATGCTTTATAAACTACAAATATTCTGGTGAATTCTGTTTGTCAACCCTTGTCAAACACGAGTGTATGACTGATGAAAAGCCGCCTATAATTTCAGTGTTCGCTTTAGTTGCATGCATTGCATTTGTGTGATAATATATTGACACATTTATCTTACAACAACAACGACAACTTTATTAAAGGGTTTAAATTAAACGGATGCAGAATATATACTCAAAAACTCGACAATTTGTGCACACACTCGCACACGCATACTGACGCCAGTCATTATTCCTTGTTAAATCAATAATTGCCTCAAAAAATAGGCCAAACATCTGATAAAGAAGTGGCTACTTCTTTACAGTCTTCAGTCTTCACATAGTACATCTAACTTCAGTGTCGGCGAAAAGAACGTATTGCTAAAAATAGAAACCTGTCTACGCGTGAGAAAATATTTTTTTTGAACGGGCTTCCATTATTTTTCACAGCAAACGGTTTTCGGTGTAAATAGAACTTGAACTATTGAAAATTTCTGTTACACATAAAACCACAAATATCATGCAACTTTCACAACTGGATCGAAAAGTGTAGAACAAGATCTACGATCTATTGCGTAAATGTAAACATGAAACATGTAAACATTTCAATCGTCAATGCGTGTTCTCTGGTATGTTATTTCTTTGAAGTTGTACGAGAGCATTCGCTGCTTCTTCTTCTCTCTGAGCTGATGATTCAGGCTCAGACGTAGGTGCTTTCCAGCCCTGGCCGGGTACAAACATACCACAATAGTTACTTTCTTCATTTCCTTCACGGGAGGTTACACAACCGCTGTCGATCCACCGCACACCGTTCGGCTTGCAGACGAACTGCCATTCTAAAATCACTTTCTTCTTCTG